ATTACTTAGTAATTGATACCACTAATCAATTAACTATTAATTAGGTGGTGATACCGCGGCTTCGCCTACATATACAACAAAAGAGAGAGAGAGATAGCATGTATCGAAGCTCTACTTTCTCTACCACATACACCTGCTCGGATAGTTTTTGAATTATGATATATTAACTAAATTGTGTAACCTTCCTACTATTACTGGTTATGTCAATCAGTAAAATTCCACTGTCTGTTCCTCTTTTGTTGCAGTCTTCGATTATTCAATCGAACTCTTGTGGAGGACAATCTGCGTTGGGGTAAATTTCTGCGCAACTTCAACGCCTCCTCTGTTCTTCAGGTGCGCCTTCCTGTCTTTATTGTGAAGTTTAGACTGGCACTGCCTTGACGAGTATGGTTTCATTTTTTGCACTCATACGGGCGCGATCGCGTAGTAGTAGTAGTAGTCCAGTTGCTTAGTCCCACCTTGCTCACCCCCGATGTAGTTGAAAATACGTGGTAAAAGGATGGGTTATGTGTAATACCACAGGTTGATTGTTCAAAAATCAACTTTAGATTTTGTAGCGTGACAAAAGAGACTGGACATAGGTGTTGCGGCAGGCAAACGAGAAAAAAAAACATTTTTCGAAGATTCCCACTGCAAATGTCAAAAAATAAATTGGCGAACATATGTTTGTTTTCGATAAACTCTTTTCTGGCCTGTACACCTACATGGTAATGAAATAACTAAAGTATGCTGGTTGATGGAAAGCAGTAAAATTGTGGAAAATTCAATCTACTTAAAATTTGTAAGTACGTGGGTATAATACATAAGTACCCCTCTGATGTCCCACTGCATACTCTTACCTTTGAGGGCACCACGTCCCAGGTACACTGAAGGCGGCTGTTTCAAAGGTATTTGCTTACAAACAATTGCCGCCGTCTAAGGAATGCGCCTTCCAGGGAATAGATCCAAGGCAGACCCAACCGCACAGAATTGGATCATGGCGTCACCACATTTGATCGGCGCCCACTTGCGAGAGCCGCCCGCAGATTTTAAGCTCATCATCGGGACAGTACAGCCGCTGCGCGCCAGAATCTGTCAATTAAAGTCCGTCGGAGACAAGACTGGCAGAAGAATCCTCTCCCCTACCAAGTATAGGAGAAAATAAGCCGGTAATCGAATTATAGAGATGTAGAATGTCTATTCAGAGGCATTTTTATACATCCGGAAAGACCACCTTTGATAGTGATGATCCTGGAGGCTTAGCTTCTGTAAATTCAACCGCCAGTTCGACTATCGAGTTCGGCGTTCTTGACCGTATACATCACAATAGGGTGGTGCAGGGACGGTGACTTGCGGTATTAAGAAAACACTTTCGCTGTATCCACCTCCCCCTTTGTTCCACTACCCCACCTGGACTCGGCGTCAAGAAAAAGTCACGAAGACTGGAGATGGGGGCTGGCGCAGGTGACTCCCGGGCGCCAAAGCCGCGCGTATGCGTGCCACTGTGCCCACCCCCA